TGTCACGCTAGGACACAAAGTCCGTTCTGGCGCACCAACGGCTGGTTTGCCTCGATCGCAGGAGCGATCTTATCCGATTGAGAATCGGCGTGAATAGTGGCACTCAACCACTCCTCACCTCGGAGCACGCACACAGCATCGCTCCCCCGTGACCGCAGTCACCCAAGGACATAAAGTCCTCCGCAGGCTTCGTCAACTCGTGACTCGAGCCTCGCGAGCCTGGCTCGCATATGCACCGTCGTGGCGCCAAGTTTTGTGCAATGCACGAGGTTCTCCCACTGTCTCCAGAACCCACCCACTGGCTCTGTACACTCCGTTATATAGGTGAGGTACACGTGACCTACTACGGCACGCCACACACCCCGCTTGTTATAACAGTGAAAGGTTTCTAAAGGCCGAAAGACCCCAAAGCCTGTTGTGTCTCCCGTTTCCGCGTTCTTGCCTTTACGGAAAAACCCTTCTCTCCTTCCTGTGACGAGGCTAATCCGCTACCAAGCGTCCCCAAATAGATGCCACGAGGCACGCTGGTTAATACGTTACAGTACAGAATGAAAATTTGAATTCCATAAAAAATAAAGATGGTAGTTGAATTCCGCCATGAATTTCTTTACAAATATTTATTATTTGTTTGTTTTTCAGTATCTCAGATAGACCATGCATCTCATGCTGTTGGACATTACTTAGCACCTCGCATCCACAGCAAAGGAACCCAGCTCCTATCCGTTACTTTCAAATACAGTGAGGAGAAAGCCTCAAAAAAGGTAGATAATGCCTTTCTAGTTGCTGCAGGAGCAGTGGGAGGTGTTACAACAGTATTTGGTGGTCTTATAAATGCGGGAGGAATATTAGCTCAAAGCTTATCTACCAACACAGTAAAGATAGTGGAACATAAGTGAGTATTTGAATGATTTAAAATGTATATTTCTTAAATTGTTAATAAATCTAACACTTATTTGCTTCTATCCTTTCTCCTACTGTTTTTCTCTAAAATTTATGTGTTTCTATTCTGACAATCGGTAAAATTTCGGTGTGGTTTTTGTGTTTATATATATAAAGTTCGCGTATTCTATGTCACATAAATATTTATAATTATTTGCTGAATCTAGGTATGGAGAACCAGCAGGTGCAGTTGCTGGAGACACAATTAATGTAGCTGGTAATATATTCGTTGCTGGCTCGAATCTTATGCACCTGACTCCACATGGGCTTCTTGAAGTTGCAGCTGCAGAAATTACTATGGGGGTGGTAGAAGATCATCGTGCAGTGCTGGAGCATTCACTTGAAAATAAAAATTCCATGGCTGAATCGTCTTCTAAAATAGATTAGCTAATTTTTAATATTACATTATGTTATACCGACGTGTCTTTTTTTGAAATAAGAATTTTGCCATTTGTAAGATAAAAGGTTTTGTAATTTGTTATTATGTTCTAACACTTAGTGGTTGCCACTTTATTTTTCATTTTTCAAATAAAATAAAAACCAAGAATTGTATTAATTTGTTTTTTAGTATTGTTTACAAGATATGACCTCGGTGAGCGGCTTAGGTGGCTCAGGGCATCAACTGATTTCCCTGCAAAGTCTTTGATGGGGAGATTACACCTAGGGTTCGAGTCCAGGCGAAGGCAGGACTTTCGACACTAACTACGTAGCTAGGTCAATTCAGTCGCTGCCTGGAGAATTCTAGCGGCCGACTGCTCTGATATGCAGTTTTCCGCGGTTTCACCGAACAAGACCAGGCGAATGCCGGAGCAGCCCCTAAACAAACAGGCCGCGGAACGCGCGCAACCTTTCCTTCCTCTTCCTCGTCTTATCTTCACCCCTCACGTACGTACACACACTTACATGCACTACAATACCGCTCATGCCGGAAGACTAGTCGGAAGCTTTGATCTTCTCCCGACTGGCGCGGTGCACCGCTGGAGGAACATACGCGGATGGGGGAAAATCCCGCAAGCCGACAGATAAGCCGGCGCCGGATCTCGCCATCCATCGGAGAAGGATCATCGCCTCCTCTCGAGATGAAAACATGCACTGCATTTACGGGAAGAACAACAGCGTATGACATGACCGGCTGCGTATGCGTATGACTGTTGCCTCTGGAGCGGCTCTAGCCGGAAGGACCTAGATTTCGAGTCCTGTCGGTGCCGGATTTTCATCACAAGTGTTCATGTAGTGGAACCGAAATATTATATATATATATATATATATATATATATATATATAATATATTCATACACACATACATACTTACGTATGCCTCCTAGCTAGTAATTCCCAAAATCCCGTTAGGGACCTCGCAGATATCGAGCTCTTGGGAGCCTCACGGCAATGGGATCTTTCGAGTTGTTGAGAGCAAATCCAATAACAACACATAAATCAGTTAAATAGGGTTTATTAATCTTAAAGTCCTTTTTGTTGCTTACAAAATCACACCAAAATCAAACTCGAAACACAATAGCACAAAAATTTGAAACCCTTTCTCAATTAAGTAATAATAAATCGTTAAACTATTCGCACAAATGATCAATTGGAATTCCCTTTGTTACTCTGCCTAAATAAATTTGCTACAATTCCTATTTACATTAACCAATGACATAATATACAATTTCACACTTCATTCAAATAATTTTCCTAAAAAACGTGTGCAGATGCATCACACAACAACAATTTAACTGTGGCCGCGAACAACATGAATTAATATTGATCTATTTAGTTTCGCACGCAATAGTGTTTTTAAAATGGCAAGAATCTCTGAAAGATTCTCAGATGCCTGCTGTATGCTTATTTCCCTCGCAAATTCCTGGTTAACAAGCTCTCGCAGGTCGTCGTGACTTTGATCTAATTTTTGGCGCTTGCGCGCCGTTACCTCTCGCAGCTGCGTCCTCCGTGCTCCAACGCTTGACCTTGAAGCGCCTCGGCTTCCACGCAGCCGATCGCGAGCTTCGTGTCGTCGGTGACTTCTCGCTACCCTTTTGCGTCTTCTTCCTCGTCGCTTTCTGCGTCTTCTGCTTCGTCTCCCTTGATATTTCTGATTACGCCCGCGTACGAATGTTTCTTGCAATGCACTGAAGAACTTTTCGTGCGTACGCATTGCTGTCGCTGGCACTGTCCCAAATTATTTGATCTCAGCCCGAACCATTTCCCTATTGTATTGCCCTTAGCTTCACAATAACTGATAGGTTCTAGATTCACTCCCTGCGTCTTGTTTGAATAAAATCTTACAGAAAAATTCTAACAGTTCGTGGACGGCTACCTAGGGTCTGTTCGACGACCAATACTCCTGCTCACTGACTCGAAGTTGTTGCTGGATCGGCGGTCAAGAACGAATGAAATTGCTGCTGGCTCGGCGAACTGGAACGAAAGAGGATGACTGATCGTCGGGTCGCCTATTTATGCACGTGCCGTCCGTGTAGGGGTAATGCGCGTCATCTCCCCCCTCCAGTCTGACTGCCTCTACGTTACATTCGTGCGCCGTTCCGCGGACATAGCGCGCAACAATATTATACGCTGCGGGCGCGCCCTTTTCAAACTGCGCCGCACTCGCTCCTCCAGTCTACTACAGACGTTTTCTTGACGTGTGGATCTTATATTCTATTATTTTTATTAGTTATTAATTTACTAATGTTTTATTGCCATTTTAATAATTTTTTAAGACTTTGTTTAATAATCAGATTCCTTAATAATAATACATTATTGTAGTTAGAGCTTTGCGGCAGTTTCACGCGATATCTTTCCGATTTCTCTCTGAAACGGTTTTCATTAAATAATAATTGTTACGGTGTTAATAAATTGATTAACTTCCCTTCACATCTTCAGTGTGTGTGTGTGTGTGTGTGTGTGTATATATATATATATATATATATATATATATATATATATATATATATAATAATAATATATATATATATAATATTTCTGGTGTCTGTGGGCGATTCTGTCCAGTATACTTGAAAAACGAAACTAATACTGAATTAAACACCATCAGTTCCACAAGTGTGAAGAAAAAAATCTTAGCTGTTTAGAGAAAATGGCTTTTTAATATTTCGGAATTTTGAGCTCGTTTTCAAAGAAAACTCGAAGATTCCAAGAAACATTTAAAGACCTCATAATAATCATGTGCACTATTAAATGCAATAATGTGAAGAAATTTCTGCTAATGTAAATATTAACGACTTGAAAGGCTAGTCCAAAAAATATTTTTGAGATTTTTGAAAAAAAATAGAGCAATATGGCGTTCGTGTTCCATCATTTTATCTCATAAATATATTTAGCATTATTTCTACTAAATGTTTGAAGAAAAAATATGGAGACATTTAGATCATCTTGTTTTGTATTTTTTTTTTTTTAATGCTCATATTGCACATAAACTACGAAGTTTCAAAAAATGTGCATGACAATGAAAGAACTAATTGTGGAGAACAAATTTCATTTCAAGGAAAAATCTTCACCTCCAATTTTGTAGTTGTAGTAAGATTCTGAAAAAAGTTAAAACTTTTGAAATCTTCGAAAATTCAGTGAACAATCAAAATCTGACCTAAGCAATCTGTATTCCTGTTTTTTCTATTAATGTGAGAAATTTAAAGAAAAAATTTGGGACCATTTTCAAGAAAATTTTGGAAATGTCCAAGGGTTTTTATGTGAAGTACACCCATAAATCAATGAATGTTTATCAATATCGCAAAAATTCAAGTCAAGACAGATTGACCAGGAAATATACATTTTGAAAAAAAGTCCTGTGTATGGTTTAGGTGCTAATTGTGTTCACAGATGGATGGACGTTTTGCCATCAATTGATTTTTCAGTATCAAGGGACCACAAAACTGATTCTGGCTACAGCAAGTGTTTAAAGGATTTGGTTTTCTAAATTTAGCAACTGGATTTATCCATTATCAGTGCCTGACAATAGGAGTTTTTTCGCTGTTTTTCCGCACAGCATTAATTACATAATTTGCACAATATATTACTCTGTATATACACACGTATATGAGAAAGTAAAAGGGGCTTGTTTAATCATGCCATTCTACAATAGGTAGGAAAAAATTCAAAACACATAATTTTATTTAGAATTTACAATAAAGTCTGAAGAACATCTCAATCTTCTAGAAAATTCATTAAAGAAATACTGTACAACATAAAATTAAGGAATGTCTCATCACTAAGAACTAAGTGTAAATGAAGGCTTTAATTGCCATATTGTTACAACTATCTTTAAAGGAGTAGTCTTCTTCACCGTCTTCAAAATCAGCTCAGACAAACACAGATATTCTTCTTGGTTAATTATATCTTGAGAAGGCTTACACATAGGAAATACGCGACCTTTGAAACACTCTTTTCTGCAGTCATGATGATCACAAACTTCCAGATGATAGAAATATACTGCTTGATCTGATACTGCAGGCATAACCTACAAAATGATTATGTAAGAGGTAGGAACTATGCTATCTACTGTTGATAATGATCCAGAAACTTACCTGCACAAAAAATGCAGTTGAATGACCAACAGCAACTTCTCTTAGAAAAAATAAGCCCCATTTAGTTATGTCAAAAGCATGAACTAGAGATGATAACAATGCTTCTTTGTATAGAACATCACAGAATTTCTCTCTAAAAAGAATAAAATTCCCAGTGACAATCTTAACTTGAAAAATTACATTTTTAGTACAGTAGCAACATACCCTTTGCCAACAACAGAATGTCCTTCATGGTGTAAAATATTCTTATGATGCTTTTTAAAGTGTTTACACATATTCGGATAACTGAGAGCCTGGTTGCACATTGGAACTGGACACGGATACATTCGATATGAGCAATTTTCTTCATGAATAACTTTACTATTATGCTGCACAGTTTCTTTGCACCCTTCAATATGGTATCTACATGGCAATGGAACCTGTTAATTATAAAAAAACATTCATTAATATTCGTTTGTTCATGTACAAGGCATCATGATGAAGAGAGATCATAAGAGAAATAGTTGACAAAATGTCAATATCAATATCAATAGTAGTAGTAGTAGTAGTAGTAGTAGTAGTAGTAATAATAATAATAATAATAATAATAATAATAATAATAAAAATAAACAATCTTCTAAATATCAACATCACCCACTATTCACAAAGATATGCAGATGTGTGGAGTGAGATACTGGATACATAAAGCATTGCATTAATTTTGAAAACAATCTAAATATAAATAATTTTCAACATTTTTTGGGGAATAGAAAATGTTAATTAATGGTAGTTATTATTTCATTTAAGATGGAAATTTATTACACATACCTGTTCAACCAAGGCTTCTGCCATATAGTTGCGTGTGCATGATTGAGGACGTTTGCATAAAGGGCAAGTCAGTACTTTTGTCCAACATGTTGCACATGCATGATGACCCTGCTCGCATTGATAAACAGGAGGTAAAACGACATCAAGGCAAACTGGGCACTCCAAAACACGCCATATTGCATTCAGGTCTGGATTTTTTGATGCGAGTTTCTCACATGTCTGAGTTTCCTGTTTAACATAGAAAACATGCTGAGAATAAATACCATAATTACATTCAAACAAATGTTATAATTTTATCACTCTGATTACAAACTGCAACCGCAGTACTCATCCACAATTTCTATCACCCAATTCAAATTTTAAGAAGAGAAAAGTAGAGATGAATCTCAGATAAAAATGTAGTTAAACACTTGATACCTGCCAATATTTTAACTGCAATACTGCCAGCTACCAAGAATCTAACTACAATTTTGATCACAAATTAAGCTTCAACGACTATACAAGTATAATGATACAAAAGTTTTAGACCAAAATGTTCAGATTGAAAATGATATTATTATACAATATAGAACCTACGCTTAATTCCACTTAAGCCCTCTTCCCAAAAAACTGAAAACAGAATGATCTTAACCAAATTGACAGCCTTTAACCTAATGTGGTAGCCCTGGTGCAATCTATTACCACACTTATTTGATCTCAGATTGTTACAATTGAAAAACAAGGCAATTTATTTAACTGTCTTCTACCTACTGCTTCCGATTTTATGTAGATAAGATGTCTGATTAATTCGAGTTTTGTTAGTAAGGTGCATAATAGTACAAATTTGAATATGCATCCCATTGAGATTAGGTTTTTATTCAACTGGTTGCCAGGAGTATAAAAGCCCTAGGAAAATTATTTACATAACTGCAACATGTTAACATGTACATAACTGTGACGTGTACTATCAAGTGAATCAGCCTTATGAGACAAGCTTGGGGCTGATGACGCCAACTTAAAACAATAAGGCTGTGAGTTCGAAACCTGCATATGGAATTAGTGTTTTAATTTGAGTTTGTGGTTTGGGGTGCATTCGCAGTCCCTCCTGTATTATAACTTTACACTAATCCTTCTGTAATATCTACAGTAACAGTACCTTACTTACAGTAACTCAGAAAAATGACAGAAAGAAATCTGTATTTATGTACGTATATATCTAAATAAATTTCAATTATTACGTATTAGAACGTTCTTTCAAGATAAACTTACTTGATTCTGTGTCTTCTTGCAACCTGCAACAAAATTTCAATCTAAGTTCCAAGGAAAATATGTTGGACATTATTTTCATACATGATATAATGCAAATGAGAATGATATAACCAAAGATAGTAAGGTTATGAGGAAGACTAACAGAAATTACAGGCTGGAATCTACCAAGCACCAAAATACAAACTAATAAGGTGAGTGAAAAATTACCCTTGCTAAGATTTTCATGTGACTCTATGCAGGCACCAAATTTAAATGGTCCAGAAATGACTGCTTTTGAATAAAATTGTGATCGTAACTCTTCAGGGGAAACATTCGTATGGTCATCCATGAAAACAATATTTTGATAGCGAACTATAACATTCTTGTACATTCCCTTTTCAAATTTTACATCTGAACCATACACAGGTTTAAATGGAATTTCTTCAGCGCCTGTACAATAAGTGAGGGCAATAATATCAATACAAAATTAAACATTTCTCAATTCCAGAGAATTTCATCAAATGGTGAAATCACAAGACATTGAGTAAAAGCAGTCTCATAAAAATGAAAACTGTGTGCTGTGGAAATCAAATTAATTTCCGTACATTTCTAACTATTTTTATGTTACATACAGTAGACTCAAAGACAAAAGAACATAGAAATAGGTGAAGTTAAAGAAATGACTATTGAGTAGTAACATTTATTATTTCACATACAAAATTTCATTGTATGTCTGCCAGAGGCTGTTCACAAAGATGCATTGGATTCAAGTAAAGACTCTTATCAACTTCACAGGATACATTAGAAATGGATTATAAGATTACCACTAATAGCACGAGTGTGTTCAACCCTGTGCAGTAAAAGATGCTATTTTTCTCATCAACAACAATTTTGAAAAAAATAAATAAATAAATAAAATGACGCACAAGTGTATAAATTGTTCCAAGCAAATTGACTGGTAAAAGATCCAATAATTACACAGCAAACTAATTGCTTTGTCTTATTACAGAGTGGCATGTCACTAAAAATTGCATGGTCCTTAAACATTATGGAAAGTTTATCTTTTTGTTAAAGAGTATTTAAAAGGGGCTTTTAATGGGTGGATCTGTGGAGATCATGCACTTGCTGGAGCCCTTTACCTTAGTTTCTATGATTTTGATAAGTGTGTGGAAATATACATGCCTTTGAGATTAAACATGTCTTTCATAAGAAATAAACTAACTGATTCTTTGCCATTTTTTAGCATTCGAGAACATCAAGAAGCCTGTGAATCCAAAAATTTTAGAGCACAAGCACATGCTACAACTACACGTCCAATTTTAGGCTTTGAATTCACGTAAGTTCTTGGAATATGATTGATTGATAAGTGATTTTGAGTGTGTCAACTGCTAATGCCATTAGTCACATAAATGTAGTGCACGTTTTTCATTGCAGGAGGTGATGGTAACTCTCCTCCAATAAATGGCACAATCCGGAGCCAATCTACATTAGCTTGTAGGAATTTTGCACAACCAGGTATATCACACCAGAACATCACCACCCAGCCAGCACAATTCCTGACTGAACTTAATGACAAGAGTGGTAGCGCAGTGCATGCAAGTGTAAATATGTGTAAGTAAAGGGGTGAGGATAGGACATGGAAGAGGAAGGAAAGATCACGCATGGTCTCTGACCCATATGTTAACCTACTTCTCCGGCATTCACCTGGTGCTGATAAGAGGAAATGGAAATCTACCGACAGCCGGACAGCCAAGTAAATACTGACCCTGGCTGCGGAAGCCTACGCTCTCATGTGGAAATTATGCGTAGCAACTCTTGGTCACTGAAATCTACCGATCTTGGCATGGAAATCTACCGACCTGAGCAACTGGCGACTAGAATATTCCTCAAGACAGCGGCTGAATTTGCCCTAGCTATCTAGTGAGTGCTGAAAATCCTGCCACCATTGAGACTCGAATCCTAGGATCTTCTGGACAGAGGCACTGCAGTGTTGTCAATTGACCCACTGTGCCACCTTTGCTGGTCGTGTAATATACTTTTAATTGATTTAGTGTCTAAGTAAAAATAGTAAAAAAATGCAATGGCCTAAAAATATGATGTCAAACTATACCACACGGAAATCACATCAAGTATCTCTGATGTTTATAATTAAAATCTTTGAAGATTTCAATTCTGTATTTCAGTAACCAAGAGTTGCTACGCATAATTTCCACATGAGAGCGTAGGCTTCCGCAGCCAGGGTCAGTATTTACTTGGCTGTCTGGGTGACGCTGCGTCCATGGTGAAGGTGCCGACGTTTCTGTCGCCATTCTGGGACCTTGGACGCGGCATCACCTGGACAGCCAAGTAAATAATAATTTCCATATTTTACAGGAGGGAACCATAGTTTCAATATTGAAGTTACGGCTTCCTTTCTAGCTGAAATGGACATTAATAAAGATAGCCAGTTACTACTGTATACCTTCCAATGAATTTCTTTCTAGACTTTCTTATGACGTAAAATCACAAAACTGAAAATGGAGTAGAACTCTTTTTTTCTGAGGTACATAATTGTAGGACTTGTGTTTAGTATTCTTAATCGACTTGATGCCACCACATCTCAAAACCTGAATCCCTTTTGTTCTTTGCATATAAAACTAAGTGGACAATAAATTGATTTCAGCAAGAAAGCTATAATGCATAATTGAATTGATTCAATGTTCATTCCTGGTAGTCATTAATACTTATATAAAAATTTTTAATATTCTTAGTTTGATAATAAAACATACAAATATGACAAATTTTTAATGCCTATTTTCTTTATTTTAACAATACAAACCTTTTCCAGAGACATTTGATGGTATGTTGCCTTTCATATCTTTTAAGGCAACTTTCTGAAATTGCTTGATAGATCTTGTAGGTTTTCTTGAACGAGGCACTGTCACAGTGCTAGTACAAAATGTTTTAGATTTTTCAGGAGTAAATGAGAATTGAAATAATGAATTGCTATTTATCTGCGATGGAACTCTTTCAAATTTCCCAAAGGGTGTCTGTTCACCAATGTCTTTATTTGAGGTTTGCTCACAATTTGAAACTGTTTTATTTGTAGAAGAAAATGATTTGTTCGAACACAAATCACTAAACACAAATTCTGCAGATGTAGTATTAGTTGCCTGATCATGTTTGTTTTTAATTCCCAATGAAAATCCAAATTTATCATTTGAAGTAGCTGGTTTTAATATTCCTGAACCTTCTTCAATCCCAGTGCACTTTTCTGTCTTCTCTGTTTTGGGAGGAAACAACAAAGATGAAACGGATTTGAAACTTCCATTTTCAGTTTCACAAGCTGTCGATTTTATCGGTGATTTAAAAAGACCAATGCTTTCAATAGGCGATTTCTTAATGAAAGGATTTTCCAAGTTTCCCTTAGTGATGTTATTTTCAAAAGATCTTTCAAAACAATTATAATCAGAATGCAGAGTTTCCCCACTTGCACAGAAGGATGATTTTCCAACATAGTTTCCAAACGTGCTTTGCGAATTGTTGATGTTATTCTGTGGGATAAAAGACATTCTTGAAGTGTTTCCACAATTATTAAAACTGGAATGAAACGAATCTGTCTCCGCTGTTTCTCCAGGCTTAACTAAACACAAATCATCACTCTTTTGAGATTTGCTTTTTGCATTACTAGAGAAAGCAGTAGCTGCATTACTGTACGGTTTTGGAAAATTATAAAACATACTATCTGAACTTCTGGTTCTTCGTGATTTTGAATCACACTGAGGAGCTAATTCAGTGTTATCAGGCCAAATATCACGAGAATATGAACTATCTGAAAAAGGAATGTGCTTTGAAGAACTGGAATTACTTGATTTACTGCTTAATATTGGAGAATTAATTGAATGTGTAGTTTGTAATTCACCAGACATTTTACCCCATGATAGAAATGAATTCACTGAATCTCTATTAGTACTCCGTTGAAAAGTACATGTTACCCGATTCATACTTGTTACGCTAAAAGGACTTGTCACAGTTTTTTGACTCTGAGGAAATTGCATCTTGTTTTCAAAAGTATCATTATTACTAGGGAACAGAAATTCATCAGACATGGCTGGGTTCAATTCATTCTCTTGCTTCATTCCTATCGCAATCTTTCCAGGTATACCATGCACAGAGATACTCTGAACATCTGATTCTAAACTATAAGATTGACAGTTTTGTCTCATTGCTTGTTCAAAACTATTCATTTTAATTTCACTGGTTGATTGAAATGAACAAACAGTGTTGACTTTGGGGGAATTATCAAGTTTGTGACTTTCAGTTAAATCATTAGAAGTTATGAGACTGCACTCATTTTTACAACTGGTGGAAATCGAAGTTGATGAATGTGACACATCACTTGAAACACCAAAATTGAAACCACCTTGGGAGGGAACTTGTGAAATAAATTTAGTAAAAATTGTTTGCTGATTTATTGCATCTGTCTGCTGGGTGGTCATACTTTTTGGATCTGAAGTTTGCAAAAAATTTCCAAGAACTGAATTCTTTGAAACTGATGCCAAATTAAATTTTGGAGTAGCTGGACTTGCTATGATTGCTTGTTCTGTGTCATGCGTTGTAACATTACTTGATATTTTTTTTGAATTAACTGTGTCACATTGTGCTTTCCAGTCTATTTTGGAACCAATAGTTTCTTCGTTAAAATTATGAGTCTGCTTTTCTATTAGACTTTCCTGTTTCGATACTGATGGAGCAGATGGGTGATTACTACAAGATGCTTCATCTGTGATTGTATATTTTGTTAAGAAGCCCATTACACGTTCTTTAATTTCTGATGATTGCTTTTGAAGACTGTCAATCTGAAAAGGTTTATCAGTAATATCACATTCCTTTCTGCCAGTACTAGTCTTGCTAAGTTCACATTCAGATTCACTCTTGAAAGACTGAATTGTTTGCATCTCGCAAATCTCTTTAGAGGCCTTTTCCTTAGTTGCTAGTGTATGCTTTGTGAAATCTCTGGCATTGGTAGTATCTTCTAAGACACTTGCAGTAGTACAACCTGTAGAGCTTGTATCAGTATTACAAACAACATTCTGTATCTTTTCATCAGAAATATCAGTGGGATATTGATTTACTGCAGATTTAGGAACATTATTTGTAGAGCATGCATCATCCACAGTTTGGAAAACTGATTCGCAGTTTCCAACATAATTTCTTACAGATTCATTTTCTGAGCCTCTTTCTGCATTAAGACCAACATTTCTTTCAACAACATGCTGGCCATCACCTAAATGAACATTATTCAAAATTTCTGGCAACTTTGCACTCAGACAAGCAATTGAAATGTTACTGGTTTTTATTTCTACAGCAGATTCTTCAGTTATAGATGGGTGAGGTTTATCATTCTCTGAATGTTCAGAAATGGCATCCGATGAATTTGAAAGATTATTCACTTCTTTTGCAATTAAAGGGTTTGAACTATTAATATTTTCATCCTGATCAACATCACTATCTAAAGGAACTGGTGTAACTTCCATTTCCTCCATGTCAAGGATCTACTCACCTGAAACAGCAAGCACACACAGGCAAAATACTTACTATTAAAACAGGAATTTTTGTGAATAAAAACATTGAATTTTACGATTTATAATTATTCAACGCAAACCGGCCGTACAATACACACATTTCCTTACAATGAAGATTTTGGCAATTGAAACCATGGGTGGCAAAGCAATACAGATAAGTATTAGTATAAAAATACACAAAGCCTCCTAGGGTCCCTAGACCATAGTTAACATAGTAATTATATTCATATCAGTTTCTCATGGACGATCATTCGCCGGTCGGATAAATACAATTTCAATGAAGCTACATGACGTATGACACCACAAATAGGCACTTGGCCCTATATTTCGAAAGAATAGCTACTTGACTAATAATGCACTATAAATATTAATAGCCTTGTGAGTATTATGTGCGATTGGACACAACAGCAATATCAAATACAACTTCTACTTCAGCACATCATATAAAAACTATCAGAACAGAGATGACATACATCGAACACTGTCATTTGGTTTTCCCTTTAATCGCCACAAAATTTTAGTCGAGAAATGTCCATTGGCAAAAGCTTTTGAACTGTCAATACCACCTGGCCAGGTACTGCACCAACAAGGGTCTCACCACGATATGAGCAGATAAGAGATCGGTTATCGTAACAAAATCGGAATTGGGCGGGCCTTTAGCGCAACACCCGTCAGTCGCCACAAGGAACAACCAGTTATAACAGCTGGTTAACAGTGAGTTATAACTGGTTGTTGAGTATAACTAATGTTATACTTCGGTTTTCATTTCTTGGCGCGTGAGGGCTTATCTTCACGATGAAATTTCAAACGGCAATTCGCATCTTTCTCGGTCATGCCGCTAGATGTCGTGTGATTATCAGCATTGCTCGTTACTGTCCCGATCATGCGGACATCTCGCGGCGCAACTGAGAAAGACCCGAAATGCCGTGAGATATACTATCCTAAAGACAGGCCCTCACAGCCAAGAAATAAAAACCCACATATATAATAAATATCAAATTAGTTTATACTCAAATGTATACACTAAAATCGGTAAACCTATAGTAAGTATATAGTAGAACCGTAAAACTAGCACAACAGCACGCACTTTCTCGTCCGACATTCCACGCAAAATTTGGCGGAAAGTACTCAAATTTTCGAAAAATTATACATGACCTTATTTCAAAATCTTTCTTTAAGAAACAGATTTCACCAAGGAAAAAAATCTGTATCTTATATAATATAATTGTAGGAAGACTCCAAAACAATCGTAAACTGTTGCAACTTTCGGAAAATTAGGGTTTTTAACGAACACGAGACCCATATTCTCTTAAACGTCCTTCACACAAACCAATAACAAAACTTAATTAAAATTGATGGAGCCCTTTGTGTTTAAATTTGGAAAATTAAAATCTTCTCTTATATAATTTCAGTAGTATACATACCTTTTGAGGCTCTTGCACGCAACCCATCTTTATGAGGTATATTAAGAAAGAAAATTTCACGGAGATGTGACGAATTTCACTTTGACTTTAAAAATATGAAGGATTTTTTCAAAAAACGCCTCTATATATTTACGTCAAATACAACCCGCAGCATTTTGCTCCAATATCAAAGTCTATATAGTTAAATAACACCTAAACAAAACGTTCTAGGACCTTAAAACTTGGAATTTTCTGACCAGAATAAGGAAAAAAGAAAAGAAAAAAAGGTTCCTCCTACCAAAATCTAAGAAGAAAATATCAATAGTCTATTACATTTTCCCTCATCCGGTGCTTATCAATGCCCCATACCCGGAGACGCCACGCCAGAGCTTAGAAGGCTTAGATTGTTTCTTATGCGTGCAACCATTCATTTAACGTTTTGCGGTCGGCTACAAGTGCCGTGTACTTAATTGTGGAGGGAACTACGATAGAAACGGACCACATGTTCCCAAATATGAGTTTCACTATACCCTTAGAAAAAATAGGATCTCTGTCTTCGTTAGTAGGATTCTCAAGCAACAAACGAATTGTATTGACATTCTTGTTTCAGTGACAAGTATGTGACATAACCTACATTACTCATGCACTTATTATAGTATCACACCATACATATCTACTAAACACTAAACATTCCAATTATTCTTATTCGAAATAGATTTATCTATTTATATGCAATATCTTTAGCTTAACTCGCAACCTATGTCTGGAAACACAACCTCTTGTTTTGGCAATTTGGCAACGCATGAAAAACCTGATTTTGCGCCGTGCACTCATATTTTGGAGTCAGCCAATGTGGCTAATTATAGTTGGAAGAAAGAGAAAACACTTGAAATTCTGCCCTTTTAATCTTCAACGTACTGCAGCCCCTACACTGGAAAGAGTAAACGCATATCTCTTGGCAAATGATGGTCACTTTGAGCATTTACTGGACGGTCAGTTTTTTGTCATTTTAAGGTAATTAAATTTTATTATTTTTATTAATTATTTTCAATAATTATTAATTTACTACTGATTTATGTTTTATTGGTATTTTTAATAATTTTATAAAGGCTTTTCATTTGCTTAATAATCAGATTCAATTATAATAATACATTATTATTATTATTATTATTATTATTATTATTATTATTATTATTATTATTATTATTATTATACGTAATGAGCTGGGCAGCGATGTTTCACGAGATATCTTTCCGATTTCTCTTTGAGCCGACTTTCATAAGTAATAATTATTGTTATGTTGGTGTTAATAAATTGATTAAGTCATAACCACTCCACAACTTCAGTATTACAGTTTTGTTTATTAAGCATACTGATAGAATCACCTAAAGATACGTTTTGTTTCTTTCCCATGTCTCTGCTCACCCCTCCCTACCCAACCCACTATATGTAGCGCGAAAAACTTCCAGTGTGAGCCGCATACCTGTCCACCTAAGCTCATGAATGGGGAAAACACAGAAACTGGAAACTTGCTGCAGCTTATGACCTGACGGTCGCCTCCCCTGCTGTCTGGATGTGCCCTAAATTAATACGTAATGCTTGCGATAGCACTCCTCTCTTGTAAAAGCAAGAAGTAAAATTAAATTATAGTACAGTAAAAAAATGTCATTTTATTTGTGTTGTGTATTAAAATTTATGATAACTTAAGTCGGAATTAGTTGTCGATGCTGTCTGAATCTAACAATAAGATGGGTGACCCTAACGGAAAAAATCCTATAGCTACTATAGAACTCTCTATAGTTACGATAGAAATGTTGACTATAGACTGTAGTAACTTTAGAACTTCCTATAGTGACTAAAGACGGAATGACTATAGGTCTTTAGTAGCTATAGATTTCCTGTGGTGACCATAGCCAATATGACTATAGGGCTTTAGTAACTATAGATTTCCTGTAGTGAAAGCAGGATGACTAAAGGACTTAAGTGACTCGTGACCTGACCGGATCATATTTATATTTATAATTGTAATCTGTGTATTCTTATGCTTTTTGTTTAAATTTAATATATGCTAAACAATAAAATATAAATTTAAATTTTGTAACAAAATTAAGTTATATAAATTTAAACAATGAGTTTTAAATATAATATAATTTACACAAAGAATATATGTCAATATTTGAATTCGTATTTGAGCTTAAATTAAACACGCATCATATTTTACTATGTCAAAATAATACGTATAAATCTTGTAAAGTTTTATTTCTATAACATATATTGTTATCGATTTCTTCATCAGGTATATTTTGCTCTAAATCCTTCAATTATTCGTCACTGTCAACCTTTCTTCTGTATTATTTTCGTACAAATGACATGCATTTTCTTCTCCATTGTTGTGATTAACGATTTCTACGTTTTCATTGTCAGGATGATTGCTTTGTTTTGTCTCTGGTCTTTGTTTTGTTTCTGGTCGCGGGCAAGGCAGGCATCCAAACGCCTAAAAATAGAATGCAATTTCACAGCAATAGGGAACACCCACACTCCTGACATCACACTTCCCCACACCTTCCCCCTACCTGCGTGACGAAACGCGACGGAAACCCCCGCCTGGGCCCGACCTGGGCACCAGCATAGAGGAGCCGCCAGGAGCGGACCCCTACACTCCCTCCCCTGTCGGCGCCGTCAACCCGGAGCTGATACCACACCGTAGAAGCAGTGCGGGGCGGCGCCGCCGTGTGAGTCCCATCCCCGAACCTTTCTCGACCCGTTCGGGGCAGAGCACGCCGGGAACTGGTGCCCCTCAGAGACTCCGCCAACTACCGCCGCGTGCTGAGAGTCACCTGCCGACTGCGGACGAACACGGAGGAGGAATTAGATAGGAATAGAGTGACATTTGAGCGCCAAGGACCGATCATCGCGGTTGAGACGCCTACGTTGACGCTTTCCATTAGGGACACTCCAGCGCTGGCATGGAACAGCCCGCCCAAGGCATATTATGCAAGCGCTCTTCAAAGGCTTGGGGAAGGAATCTACTTACCTGCCTACTGTCTGGCCAGGAACATGAAAATTCCCACCCTTATAGTGTTTTTTTCCGGCCAGGATCAACTCCTCTCCAGCTCTTCAACTGGCTGCCCAGGTAACGTGACCAAAAGTGTAGACATGAAAATGACGTGGAACAACGGCGCAACACAGCAACGAGGAACATGGTCAGACGTTACCACGCGGGTGCCGCTATCCACTGTCACTTTATGGAACGCCGCGACACATAATCATTGGTGCCATTTTATAAAGAAGCAGCCATTGCAGCGGGTGGAGGCATGCATCGGAGAATCAGCGATGCGTAAGGCAGACAGTCAGCCCTGATTCAGTTACTCTCGCGCGGGCAGAAACAATGGACACTCGATGCGTAGACTATCGCGGTGGCCTGTCGCAGAGAAGGCCAAACTCTTGAGAGAAATTAAGAAGAAAGCGCGAAAAATACGAGCCAACCCGCGCCACTACATTACGTCGGTTACACAGCGCCCGATGGTACTCCCGCTTGCTGATAGGGATGGGAGATGGAGAATGGTGTGCGGGTACAGTGAACGCCGCACTAAAGATAGGTTGGGATGGCCTCAACTAAAAGTCTTTAAGGGGAAAAAATAGTCACATAGAGGCATTGATGGCAAGTTGGCGGCATCTACTCACGCACGACGACAATATACAGCCTGGCCGGTGAGTAAAAACAGAGGTAGCGCGGGAAGAGTCCAGAGTAGCCTGCTCTAAGCACCCGCATGCCAAGAGAGCTACTAGCGGAAGAACAGAAAAACTGCAACCACAGACGACAAGCTGAAGTCCTTGCGTTAGGATCTCGCAGGAGATTCATGATGAATAGACTTTATATTATATCAAAAAATTATGTATATTATGCATAATACTCATAGAAGTAAGAATTTTTCACTAAGCCAGACGGCAACTGATATGTATAAATGTATATATGTATGTATAAATGTATATATTAGATTAAGGAATAAATATTTGTATATAAAAAACTTAGTATGTAAACTTGCGTCTTAAAATATGAAATTAACTTAATAATCGCACATAACGTATTTAGTTTTCTTAGTGAAATATTCATATAGTTTCAAGTTTAAACCTTATGATAAATTTAATAAGAATAATTAAGCTTATTATTAACAAAACCGTCAAAAGGTAGCATTAAAATCTTGGATCCAACGCCCACAAATCAAAAGCACTGCAAAAAGGATCGACAGCTGGATAAGAAGTTGCTAGACGTTGTTAAATGTAAGTAATGCACATATATATTTCTTCAAATGAATTTCTGTTATTACACCAAGATTTTGTTATTCTAAAAAAATTTAATTACTGTAAAAATTAATAAATTTAAGGAAACTTTCGAGTTAAAATTCTCTTTTTATCCATTTTA